GCAAAGCAGGGGTCTCACATGGCAGAAAATGGCAGAGCAGAGAGAGACAGATCTTCATTCACACTTCTTTTAAAGCCCTCAGATCCATGCCCATGGCCACCATCAAACCATCAACTTAATCACTTCTTCAAGGCCCCACCTTTTAATTACCGTAATGGAATTTCCCACCCTCAACAGTTATAGTGGCAATTAAGTTTGAGGGGACATTCAATCCAAGGCATTCTGCCCCTGGCCCTCCAAAACTAATGTCCTTTTCACACACAAATACATTCATTTCATCCAAAAGTCTTAACTTGTTTCAACACAAAGGTCCAAAGTCCAAAGTCCTATCCGTGAAATCAAAGCAAGTTATCGATTTCCAAGATACAGTGGTGGGACAAGTATAGGGTATATATTCCCATCCAAAAAGGGAGAAATAGGCCAAAAGAAAGCGGTAACATGTCCTAAGCAAGTCTGAAACTCAACAGGGCAGGCATTAAATCTCAAAGGTGGTGAATCATGTACCTTGACTCCCTATTTCACATCCTCTGTGTGCTGGTATGGGGGTTGGGTCCCCAAGTCCTCATGCAGCTCTGTTTCTCTGGCTTTATTGGTCTGAGGCCATGCTTCAGCTCTCCCAAGCTGGCATTGCATGCTGGTAGCTCCACAATTCTGGGATCTCCATGACAGTCCCGCTCTCACAGCTCCACTAGGCATGGCACTGATCCCCATGTTTCTGCTTGGCATTGCTCTAGTAAAGGCTCTATGCAGTAACTCTGCTCCTGTGACAGATCTCTTCCTGGGTCCCCAGGCTTTTCGATATGTCCTTTTCATATATTCATTCTGTGAGCCTATAGACCCAACACCACATGGATGGTACCAAGGCTTCTTGTTTGTATTTTCCAAAGCTTCAGGTCCAGCCACACCTGGGGCCAATTTAGCCACAGCTGGAGCAGCCAAAGCAGCTGGTGTGTTGGTGTGGGGAGCAGCATCCCAAGGTGACCCTGGGCAGTGAGCCCATGGAAAGCACCTCAGGCCTGTTCCCCAAAACCATTCTGTCTCCCTAGGCCTCTGGGTCTATAATGGAAGAAACAGCCTCTGAGATTTCCCTTCTCTTTATAATCCCTTTCTTCCATACTAATCTCCTTAGCAAATGGTTGCTGGGCTACACCCTTGCTTTCATGGCCAGGCTGAAAATTTTCCAATTTTTTTCCCTCTGCTTTCTTTTGAATTATAAATTTTGGCTTTACATTATGCCTTTTCTGCCATAACTGCTCCTTAAAATTCTTCCAGCCTCTGCCCATTACCTTGCTTCCACATTTTCATGTACTCTTTATTAGCAACACTCCACTTCTCAGTAGTAATTTTCTGTATTAATCCGTTTTCTATTGCTGATAACAGAATACCTGAAACTGGGTAATTTATAAGAAAAATAAATTTCTTACAGTTTTGGAGGCTGGAAAGTCCAAGGTTGAGGGGTACATCTGGTAAGGGCCTTCTTTTCAGTGGGAACTTTCTGAAGAGCTTGAGGGGTTATTCAAACCACAGCAGATATCTTGGCTATTTCCAATTTTTGACAGTTATGAAGAAAGGTGTTATAAACATTAGTGTGCAGGTTTCTGTGTAGACATAAGTTTTTGAGTCATTTGGGTAAATACGAAGTAGCATGATTGCTGGATTGTATGGCAGGCCTATGTTTAGCTTTATAAGAATCTGCCAGACTGTCTTCCAAAGTGGCTGTGCTGTTTTATGTCCTACCAGTGATGAATGGGGGTCTCGTTTCTTCACATCTTTGCCAGCATTTGGTGTTGTCAGTGTTTGGGATTTTAAACCATTATAATAGGTGTATAATGGTATCTCATTGTTGTTTAAAGTTGCAATCCCTAATGACACATGATGTTGAACATGTTTTCATATGCTTGTTTGCCATCTGTGTATTTTCTTGGTGAGGTTCTGTTCCCATCCTTTGCCCATTTTTAAATTGGGTTTGTTTTCCTACTGTTGAGTTTGAACAATTCTTTGTATATTTTGGATGTAAGTCTTTTATCAAATATGGGTTTTGCAAATATTTTCTCCCAGTCTGAGGCTTGTCTTTTCATTCTCTTAACAGTGCCTTTCAAGAGCAAAAGTTTTTAATTTTAATGAAATGCAAATTTTTCTTTCATGGATTATGCTTTTGGTGTTGCATCTAAAAAGCCATTGCCAAACCCTAAGTCATCTAGATTTTCTACTATATTGCCTTCTAAGAGTTTTAAAGTTTGTTTCACATTTATGTTTATGATCTATTTTTAGTTAATTTTTGTGAAGGGTGTAAGGTCTGTGTCTATGATTCCTTTCTTTTTTTTTTTTTTTTTTGCACATGTATATTCAGTTTCTCCAGCACCATTTATTAAAAGGCTACTCTCTCTCCTTTAAATTGCCTTTGCTCCTTTTTCAAATATCAGGTGAATATATTTGTGTGCTATAGGTTGAATGTGTTCCCCCCAAATTCATGTGCTGGAAACTTAATCTCCATTGTAACAGTGTTAAGAGGGTGGGAAATCTGATTATGCTATTTGAAAGGTGGGGCCTTTAAGAGTTGATTATCTCACGAGTACTACATTCTAATGAATAGATTAATCCATTCATGGAGTAATGGGTTATCATGCGTGTGGACTGGTGATTTTATAAGGAGAGCACATGAAAACTCTCTGGCCATTCTCCATGTGATTGCCTGCATCACCATAGGACTCAGTAGAGTTCCCACCAAGAAGGCCCTGACCAGATGTGCTCTCTGGACTTTGGACTTCCCAGCCTCCAAAACTGTAAGAAATAAATTTTGTTTTCTTATAAATTACCCAGTTTCAGGTATTCTGTTATGAGCAACAGAAAACAGACTAATACATTGCATGAATCGGTTTTCAGACTCTCTACTCTGTTCCATGATCTATTTATCTATCATTTGACAATGCCATGCTGTCTTGATTACCATAGTTTTATAGCAAGTCTTGAAGTTGGGTATTGTCTATTTTCCAACTTGGTTCTTCTTCAGTATTGTGTTAGCTCTTCTGGGTCTTCTGCTTTTGCATGTTAACTTTAGAATCAGTTTGTCGATATCCATAAAATAACTTGCTGGGATTTTGATTGGAATTGCACTAAATCTATAGATTGGGTTGATAAGTACTGACATTTATTGCACATTTTTAAAGTTTCATTTTTAACATTTAGGTTTTTAATCTTCTCAGAATTAGTTTTTATGCATACTGAGAAAGAGGGACCAAATTTTTTCCCATAAGAGTAGCAATTGTTACAGTAGTGTTTTATTGACTAGACCACCCTATTCTAACTTTTAATGCCACCTTTATCATATACAAAGTTCTCATATGTGTATAGGTTTTTTTTCTGGGATCTTTATTATGTTTTATGGGTATTTGCCTATACCTTTACCAATATATAATAAATCCTGGTATGACAGGTCCTCCCAACTTATTCTCCAACCCTACCAGCCCCCAGAAATTACAGTGGCTTTTCTTCTTAAGTTTTGGTATGAATTTTAATGTCATTTTTTACACGTTCTGTGAAAAACTCTGTTGAGGTTTTAACTGGAATTGCATTATATATATTGATTAGTTCAGGGAGAATTGAGATTTTCATAGCATTTAAAAAAAATTTATGAACATGGCTCATTTCTCCATTACTCTAATTTCATCCATAAAGATCTTGCACATTTTTTTCATAATTTACTATTAAATCATTTTACAGTTACAAAATATAGTTAAAAAAAATTTTTTTTGGCAGCTAGCCAAAGGGTTCCCAACCCTTGACCTTGGTGGTATCAGCATGATGCTCTAACCAATTGAGCTAATCTGCCAGCCCTAAAATTCTTAAAATGTCAACTATTTAATAGAAAATACAGTTTATAAAAAAATACAAGGGATACCACCTGAAGTGTGAAAAATATTAGTGTATTATTTCTCCCCAAATTGGAAGAAATACTTAATCTAGAGTTTCTTGTAGTTCATGACTTAAAATAATATAACTAAATAGGGAAAAACGTTGAATCAACTTCCTTTCTGTACTGTAAGGCTCGGATTTCTTCCCCTTCTTTTTAGTTTGTTGTTATCCGTGAAGTATTTATTTTGTGATTTACAAAGGTAAGCAGCTTCTTTCTGAACAATCAGAATGTAAACATGCATTTTGAATGTTAATTAAGCTGAATCCAGTTAAAGATTTCATTTACTACTAACAAATATATTCACTACGTATAAATGCTGTAGGGAAAACAGATTCAGAGGTCAAATTTCAGTCCATGTTCTTCCACCATAAAGGAAAATTAGGAGGTCCCAATACATTACTTGTGGATTACGCAGTTTCCAGAATTCCCTTACCAGGGGAAATAGCTGCTGTAAGACAGAGACCGAAGGTTTCAAGGGAGCAGTTGTGAGCCCCCAGGGCCCACTCAGGAATACCGTGACACATTCCAGTTGTTCTAGCGCTGAACCTCAAAACTATTTCCCTTTCCTTCCCTTTCAATCTTCATCCCAGACTCTTTAACTTGTTCTTCGGCGCTTTGAATAATTCAGCATGGTCAAATATTTGACACTAAAAGTAACTCTTCAAGTGTTGTAGTTGTCATACCCAGATATCTTAACTAAGTTTGTCCTGAATACTGTTATGTCGGTATATTGCTAACGTGAATTTAGTTGCCAACCCAACAATGTGGTCCCCAGAACATAGCAGCTCCAGGATCAAGTCGGCCACCTTAATCCAGCTTCCCATACTCAGGCCAAATTCAGAGGCTGATCTTGGGGTTATTTCAGGACGTGTCCCTTGCTTCCCAGAAAAACTCAGCCCTAACTCAAGCCCAGAGCCCCAACACCCTCCTGATCAGGTAAGCTTAAGCTTCAATGCCTTGCAGGGCGTGTCAGGGCTCAGGCTCACTCCGGAGGTGGAGCCCCGCGTTTTCCAGACTAGCAGCTCGTAGGGCAGATGTGTGATAACCGCGGCAGGGGAAACTAGCGCGGAGCAGCTGGCCCATTGTGCGGAGAGGCTAGAATCCAGCCCGGGCTCCTGACGCAGGCGGAAGCCCCGCCCCGCGCGTGACGCCAGCGTCAGGCCAGTCCCGGCATGCTCCGCGGCCGCCGCGGTCGAGTGCAGGCGAGAGGAATTTTCCCCGTGAGCGGCCCCAGCTCAGTTCAGCTGCTGTCCAGACCCGGGTCGGCGACAGTGTCGTCTCCAGCCGTTCTCCTACTGCTCGCTCGCCCGTCCGAGCGCCCCAGGCCCTCCCGCGAGGGCGCCCCGGGACGGAAGGATCCACCAGCCTGTCGGCGCCCGCCGTTCTCGTGGTCGCCGTCGCCGTCGTCGTTGTGGTAGTCTCCGCCGTCGCCTGGGCCATGGCCAATTACATCCACGTCCCGTCCGGCTCCCCGGAGGTGCCCAAGCTGAACGTCACGGTTCAGGATCAGGAGGAGCAGCGCTGCCGGGAGGGGGCCCTGAGCCTCCTGCAGCACCTGCGGCCGCACTGGGACCCCCAGGAGGTGACTCTGCAGGTAACGCCCACACTTCAGCCTTGGGCCTCACATCCCAGACGCGGTCCTGGGCCTCTCGCCACAATCCCCTCTGTTCTCCGATGACCGGGGAAAACCTACGGGAACGTCTCTTCGCTCAGTCCTTTGGGAAGTGACCCTGTATTTCCTACGTTACACCTAGGAAGGTCACTCCCCCTTTCTTCACCGTTGCTTATTGAGATTGTCCTGAGGGCAGATTTTCTTTCTAGAAGCTACGTAAGTGACGCACCCATTCACACTGGGAAGATTCTTGTTGATAGTTGCCCCTCCTCCCACTCCCCAGTCCATGCTAACTGCAAAAAGAACCTTTCCTACTCCCTTTGCAAGGGGTCCTCGTCTTCTCCCCAAGGAACCGCCTCTCTTTCCACAAATAATGCACTGTATTAATTCTTTCTGATCTTTTCCTTTCCCCCTTCTCCATCGGCGATTTACTCACATTGATACCTCACCCTGCGTTTTGTTTTCCCACAACCTCTGATTGGCGAAAGTACTATTCCAAAATAATGGCCAGGCATTGCTGCATTGGGTTCTTGGGTAGCACTACACACATTATTTTATTTGAATTGATATTTCTGAATTTTTTAAGTCGTTTCAGTAAAGTTCATATCTGATGTTAGAATGAGCTTGTGAATATTTACTTTTCTTAAGCCACTGTTCATAGACAAATTGGGAGAACAAAATCTCTAAGAATCTAGGAGTTTTTTAGTATCTTGGAAGTTATGATTTTGTATACATGACATTTACTTTGAATACAAATTTGCTATTAGCTTTTGCGGTGTATAGTTTAGGAACTGTGTACGAAAATGAACCTCCTTTTTTCCTTTTCTCTTGCAAACAAACAAAGAAACAGTAATATTAAAGACTGGATATTTGGGATTTGTTTTATATCTGAGGAGTAATTTAAGAACGTTAAGTTGAGTTAGCCGAGTCATCTGCCTCGTTTATTGATTTAATTCTTTGCTAAATTCTTTGCTTAACTAGCCAGCACCTGTTTTAAGATAAATAAAACATGAATAGTTCCTGGGGCTCAGAACAGTTCCTGACACTTGGGCTTTCATGAATGCTAGTTTCAGTTTTTAGTGCCTTGAAGAGTTTAGAGCAGATTAAAAGGACACAGATGTTTTGAAAAAAATTATTAGACAAAAAATTCGAAATTCTAAGGGAGTATTTGTTAGCCAGATATTCAGGAAATAGTGATTCAAAATGATTTTCATGTATAATATAAAAAAATTAATACATTTACTTTAGCTTAGGAAATGTCTTCCAAATTGAAACTCAGTACTTATTAGTTTATTATTTATTAACTTATTCGTAGTTTATTATAAGAGGTTCTAAAACTTATTAAAGGGATTTATTTTCTGGTAGTCAATTATAAATTAAACATATTAATTAAAGGCAGTGCTATTTCCTGGTAAACTAGTGCTGGCAAACCATGTTACGTTTTAAGCAGTGACTTTATAGTTTAATGCTTGGAAGAATGGAATTTCCTTGGATATATTTCTCTGTAGAACAGTTACAATAGCTACTGTGGAGTACGGTGGGATTAGGTGATCTGTATATATTTTTTTTCCTCATTTAGTTGCCCAAACAACCATATTAGGTAGGGACTAACTCTTTTTTAGGTGAAACAGTGAAGTAAAGCCAGAATATAGGTAAGAAAGGACAAAATGTGGTAATATCAAACTGTTTTTGTATGTTGTAAAATAAACTACTTGTAATTGAATTTTTGCTTCTGTGTAGTAACTTTTAACTTGAAGACTTTTGGGCTTATAAACCAAACTTCTAATATAATTATTTGTAAGTGGAAGTAAATACTACCACTTATCTTGCCCCAAGGGTGATTATTAGTTAGAAATCACAGCTTTTGGTCCAGAAGCTGGGACATATACTAAGCTGAGTTGATGGTTAATTACCTCTCAACTCGATAAATCTGACTCATATCCTAGGTCATTACAAAGTTTACTTTTATGATGCTTCCGGATTTCTTTAGTAAATGTCAATGGGAATATTTTCTTTTGAGATTTTATTTTATTTACTTTGAAGTATAAAGATAAATCATATCTCACATTTCAGAAGGGGAAGTATGTGTCATATAGTAAACAGATTATAGTGTAATTTTAGAATAGTAGGGTATCAGTAATATAGCCTGTTTTTTCTGACTTTTTTCCAAAATTTTTATGTGTTTCAAATATGCTTTAAACATACTTCAGAGGCTTACTGTAGTTATACTTATCTCACCTGGTGGTTACTCCTGCAAACTGAACTATCCAGAACATACCAAAAAATCTAGAAACAAGCAAAAAAGACTTCATTGTAGTCAAAATGGTAGAGGGCCCAGTCTTTGCTCAAAACATAAGAGCACATGCCATAGTATATTTCATTTTAAATAGGGGTCCTGTCCTTTTAAGATTAAAAGAGTAAAGTATAAAGAGAGTGGTAAGTTTTTTGGAGTTTAGTATCAGAGAATAGGCAGAGTATTATCTAAAACAGCACTACTGTCCACAGTGCTTTGCATTTAATAATAATTTACTGTTTACAAAGCACATTCACATACATTCTCCAAACTGTTTTGTGAGGTAGATGTAGACAAGTACTGTAAATACGTATTTTATAGTTAATGAAATTGAACTTGTGGTGTATAAGTGGCAGATCTGGGATTAGAACCTGTGTTATGAATTAATTGCTCTATGACCAAGAAAAGGTTAAGTCTGTACATGTGTTATGATTATGGCAGGGAAGCCACTTCTGTATAAAATTAATTTCTTAAAAATAAAAGCTTTGGCTCATAAAAAGATTTTGCTTTAAGTTCCCTTCAGCATAAATTTGCATTACTTTTTCCATATGTGACACTATTTTAGAAAAGGGAACACTTCAGCTTTTCTTTAAGATAGAGACTCCTTTTATGATGTAACAACTCTCTCCCTAACTTGTTAAATTTTGGATTTTTGATTTATCTACATTTCTTTGGATAGTCATTGTATAAAGGAATAAAGAATCAAGTCATATCTTGTAGGTCCGACAGAATAATTCTCACTCTTAAAATTGTTTTTCTTTCTAAAAGAGCTGATGAATTAGTGTTTGGAATATTCTAGTATGTTGTATCAGGGTTTATCTGCAATGTTGAGCAATGTTGTTTTTCTCATTACAATTACTAAATGGTGGGAATATGTTCTGAGAAATGTGTGGTCAGGTGATTTTGTAGTTGTGCAGAAGTGTATTATGAAAGGGAACAGCAGTAAACTTTCATATTATCTATATTGGCCACTAGTTGCATGAGCGTGGGCCCTCTAATTATGTTACTAAGTCTCCTTGTGCCTCATTCTCCTCATCTCTTAAGTGGGGATTAGAATAATAGCATCCCCAGAAAGTTATGAAAATTAAATTTCAGGCAGAGATTATGTCTAGCACTCATCAAGTACTCAGTGAGTGTTAGCTAACAGTTATTAACTATTATTTTGCTGTGAGGATGGGTGGGAATCATTTAAAAATGCAATAATTATAAGTAGACGACAGTCCTTTCACCTGGGGTTAGACCTAATGTGTCAAATGCTTAGCTTTCTGTCTTAAAGATTTGAGTTACCTCTGGGAGGGTCACCCTGTGGGTAAGCTAGGTACTCTTCAGCAGTAGATTTGTTTACATCATCATCACTGCAAACATGTGAGAGATGCGTTGTAGATTTTGCAGTAGATTTGTTCACGCCATCATCACTGCAAACATGAGAGATGCATTGCCCTAGGACATTACGAAGGCTAAGCAATAGGAATTTTTCAGCTATATTGTAATCCTATGTGATCACCGTCGTGTATGCTGCCTGTTCTTGAGTCCTGTAGATACATATATGTGGTCATAATTTATATTCAGTGTAACTTTTAATATCAATGGTTAGGTTAGGGTAGGTGGTATGACTTAAGACTGTATTGACTGTGGCTGAGAGAGATATAATGTTTGATAGGCTCCTATCAAAAATGTGTAATGTTATAGGCTCCCATGTGTTTTATTAAGATGTGACTATAAAGTTAGGAGACTAATGTGCTACTTCATTTTCAGGTATTCACAACTGTGTTAGCAAACTGCTTTATTACTCTGGGGGCATTAGCATAATGTGATAGATAGAGCATGGTTTTTAAATCTTGATTCCAGCCATTTGTAACCATTGGCAAGTTTTTATCTCTGTATGAAATGGGATTACTACCTACCTTGGAAAACAGTCACAAGAATTAAATGAAATGTTTAAAGTTATGCATAGTATATTTTGATACTACAATTCCTGCATCTCTCATTTCCAGCCTGCCAATTTGTTAATGAGAAAATTGAACTGAAAGAGTTGTAAGCTCCTAAAATCAGTAATTCTGACACTTATTTTTTCTACTAGGCATAATGCTAATTTTCAGCAGGATTCCTTTGTACAACTAACTGTAGCACAAGATAGGAATGGGGGAATGTAGGACAGAAGACTTCATAGAGGCGGGGGTACCTGAGCTGAGCTTTGAAGGAAAGATGTGATCAGATGGATTGGGGGATGCATTAGGAAAACTATTTCACAAAGGCAATGAAGCTAATAAGTAGTTTGGACAGAATAGAGTGTGAACAAGAAAAGAAGTGGGATTGATTTCTGGGAAGGTAGAGTGGTTAGATATGAAGGATTTGTGGCTCATGAAGGAGTTGGTATTTTATTATCAAGGACATAATGGGAATTCATTGAATATTTTCAAGCAGGTGAATTATATCATCTGTTTTTTGAAGAAGTGACAGGCTGCAATGTAGAGAAGCATTGGTTGAGGGGAATGTTTTAAACTGGGGAGTGATCATTTAGGACATTGGTTTTTAAATTGGTGGTTACCACACACTAATAGGATGCCAAATTGGTATAGTGGGTTGAGACCACTACACTTAGATGAGTTAGAATAAGATATGATAGGATGCATCAGAGAATCTTGAAAGTAGTAAGGTAAGTATTGTTTTGTGAAGCTTGTTTTAGTTT